GATAGATAGATAGATAGATAGATAGATAGATAGATAGATAGATAGATAGATAGATAGATAGATAGATAAACTTTATTGTCTGTCCCAAAGGTGACAGAAAATCGTCTTTGACAGGGATCCATGTTAAAAACATACATTCAAATATAAGTTAAAAAAGCGAACATCAATGACATAAAGTGCTATAATAAAATCCACATCCATACAAAACAACCAAATTTAAAACAGTCCTAAAATGGGTGGGGGGTGTAACTATGCAACCTTGTTTAGTAGAGTAATTGCAGAAGGCACAAACGATTTTTTGAAGATGTTTTTCCTAGCACTATCAAACTAAATTTGGCATTGTAGTAGCGGAGACTCATCCCCGACTTATCCCAACAGTGATACCCACTTTTCAAGATCTCCACTTAAAATTTTGTCGTTAACACAAAGTCAAACCTGTTTGTTAACAAACTTCATATGAACCCCTGGATGGGTTTTATTGAAACTTTCAAAAGTTATCATTAGATAAACATCTTCGTGATGGTCAGGTGTCAAGTAACGCACAAAAAAAACTTCATAATATTTCTTAAGTAAAAATTTTCGTTTTACTTTACTGGAGTAATTACATTCAGCCAAATTTTACTTCTATTCCTTACATTTTCATGCAAATATCTGTACTTTCTACTCCTCAAACTTTAAAAAACACCCTTGTTGTTGTTTTTTTTTTTTCATTTTGGCTTGTTATGCAACACTGCCTATAATGTTATTTTCAAAGTTTGACCAGAACAGCTAAAACTCTATTACTTCTCAATATAACAGGATCTCAATTTAAAACTCTGATTCAAAAAGTCAGCGTGCAGTATCGGGCCTTTACTTTTGTTTTTTGTTTATGTCGAGGCTCACGGTAAAAGCGATGCTGCGGCAACTTCACATCTCTGATGCTCTTAACACAGACCTGAGTTCTCATCCGTCATTACGGAGACCTTTCACTGTCAGGGTCCATTATCTCGCATCAAGCCCGGCTGCTTAATTGTTCTAACTTACATTAGACCCAACAGAAAAAAAGATGTTTTCCCAGGGACAGCAGGGTCTTTTCAGTCTGATATGAAATCCTACACAGGAACAAATGGGATCAAAGAGGAGGCTTCCATTAAGTTGCATGAAAGAAAAGAACTTCACATAAATTCATGCAACAGTAATGTTTCTTAGAAATCTTCCCTTTGACAAACTAGCCTACTGATGTGTAATAAAATGGCTGGTTGCATTTTAAACTTTGTGCCCCGTATTTCCTACCACAGTCTGGGGAAGGATGATTTAAAGCTGCACCGTACGGTAAAAGGAGCCTTTCAGTGTTTGCATGATTTAAAGGCTTATTTAGTTAAAGGTCAGCGAATCCGTCTAAATGTATTTGGCACTGCCAACCAAATCTTTGGTCATTGGTTCCATGGTTAATTTCAATGCAAATACTCTCATAAAATGCAGGTATCACCCAGACAAACTTGTGAGATGGATCATTTATTTGCATGTGGGTTGAAATTGCAGCTCAGAAAAAAGCAGGAAACAAATAAATGCAACATGAAAAATGGGACAATCTGCATAAATACTGAAAGCAGAACATTAAGTGAAAGGGTTTATAAAGCATGTTGAACAAAATAATTTTCAGATTTCCAAGTAGTGGTGTAAAATTTCAACAAAAACATGATCTCAGCTGAGAAGAGGATATTTTCACAGCAACTCTTGATTTTTTTCCCTCCGGCACCTTGCAGTCACTGCGGCCACTGACTCCAAGTATGACCTCCATCTATTTAGTGATTTTTCTTCTCTTTTTGTCAAAACATTTTTACTTTGTGTTCACTATGACTCATGCTTTTTTTCCTTCTCTTTTTCACTCTGCACTGACATGAAAGAAACTTACAAAGAAAATCCTTGCCCCGATTTTACATCCGACTCGAGAAGAGGAAGAGTTTTAAATACATTCCAATATATTTTAGTTGTAATGACACCTTGAGGTTCTGTGGTAAGGTAACATCATACTTCAGCAACAGTTTG